CCTATAATCGGTTAACTCGGACTCGAAAAATGTACTAATGTACTCGTATGTTATAAATTTGTCGGGTCCGAGTTAGTGCAAATTATAACGCCGCTACTAAAGTAATCACGGACCCAGATGGTGTCAATAAATAAATTTGTTGTGATAATCAGGACTCATAACTTATAGCCCTAAAAATGGTAGTAATAAGCGCTATAATATGCTTATAAAAATATTCATATAAGCGCCTAAATATGCACTAAAAATAAAAAAAAATACGGAAAAAATTTCATGTAAAAAAAATTAATTTCAAACTCTTGTTATTAAAAAAATGATCGTATCGCTATATGATAAAAATAAATATATAATTTAAACCAAAAAAAAGAAGAATTAGTTAATTAATATGAATTAATTTTAAATATAAACAATTAATACTACTATAATAAGTTGTTATTATTAAGGAAGAATTTTTTAAATGCTACGGAACTGAAAAACACTTAAAAAAGCGAAATAGCAAATAACAAATTTCTAAATATGCAAAAATATGCAACGTAAAATTATGTATTCAGCTTTTTAGATATCTGAAATAAATTTATAGCTCACATAGGTATTTCTAGGACCTTTAAAAAAATATATATATATAAATGCTATAAGTTATTAGCCCTGGTGATAATTATTTGATAATATATTTCATTACAATTTTGATCATTATGTAACTTATATATAGATGTATTATCATTACATTCAATTTTATATTTACAGAAAACGTTATTATATTAGTTAAATATATGGTAGGTAGGTATATTCGTAGTGAATATAATATTAAATGAGAACTAGTTCAAATAGTGACCTCTGCAGAGCTCCACGAGTCTCTCATAAACAACAAATTATGATAGAAGGGCCCAAAATTGTTTACCCCGCCCCCTAATATTCATTTTCTGGCTACGTGCCTGCTTACGCTGTGCCGATTCTCGATGCGCGAGATCCGTGCGACGCACAGTAGCATAGAATGATATTTAGGTTGCTAAAAATAGTTATAAATATATTGATACGTTCCCAGTGAAAGCATACATTTATGTGTTAGATGTCCTGATGATGGTCAGTTAACTAACAGTATAGATTTTATAATAATACTTATGAGTATACGTTACGGTTTAACGATTGTTTGAGACCAGTGTTTACTTCAAGGGTTGAACGGGGGAAAGTATTACTCCTCCATCTCGAAAGAAATGTATTTATTTGTTAATTATTTACTTTTACGGAATACCGTGTATACAGTATATATCACATACCCCCCCCCCCATCGAAAATGTTCGATATCTCCTCAGGACTGAAGGTCTAAAATAAACTCTGGTTGAGACTACATTAGAAAAGATAAACTCATGACGCGTGTGCCTGAGATGCACAAAAAAAATTTTGAGGGCACGTAAAAAATAATAATATTTATATTATCTATATTTATTTTCAATAATAAATTACAACATCACAATATAGTACCTTTTTACTACTGTTGACGTCTTTCGGAAAATTAAATTGTAGATTCGGAACGTAGATAAAGTACTGAACGCAACGAGATGCAATGTAGTAGCATTAGCAGTTTTGTCTACGTTTTCTTCGACTCCTTCATGTAAGCCACTATTTTCAAAAATGAATTTTATAAAATTTGATTTACCAAATGACTGATGAATGTAGCGCCGCATGTGCTTTAGTAAGAGTTACCAATTATAAATCAAATATCGACGAATTTGCAATTCAACAAAGAAAATCCCACGAAGATGACGAATCACTACCGAAGTAATGTAATTATGTATTTATTCAAACATTACCTACATTATTTATAATAACACTCTAATAATAAACTTTTACTAATATATATATATTTAATGGCACGCTCGGAGAATGAAAAAAAAATGGGTAAATTTTGGCACGTAGTGTCAAACCCTGGACGTAACGTCACTCGTGTTCAAACGATTACAATTAATAGTAATAATCAGGGCTTATTCTAACGCGCAGTTAGGCTTATTTTGCGTATTTGGAAAAGATAGATGTGCACTTGATAATAAACTTTTGTGTAATTGATTTTTAATTCATTGTTGTTTAGTGTTATTTTATACATTAAATTATGATTTATAAACAAAGTAAAAAGGAAATTTATTAAAAAATATTAAAAAAAATTCATTAAACACGAATGTAAATTGCTTTATATATTTTAAATACATTACATTTTAAATTACTTCATATAGAAGCTACACATTTTATCATTTTTAACTATAATTTGACAGTATATTATGAGATCATAGTTCTATTTTGATAGGCTTATTTAAACAAAACGCGTAGTTGATAAAAATCCTTAGAATAATCATCCGTTGAATGGCCGTATTGCGCCCGATTTTGATAACGAATTTTTCGGTAGCTAGTTAATCGCATTTATATAGTTATATGAAATTAAAAAATATTATTCGACCTGGAGATATGAGCTGATATGTCGAGTATAGGTGATCGTACCATGAACTGCTGCGAATCTTTCCACGCAAAATGTAAGGCTGAGTTCACGTCTGCTCATCCTAACATTTTCAATTTCATGGAAATTTTGAAGAAGTACAGGCTGACATATATATATATAAAGCTCCGCAGCACGAATAATAGGAAAAAAACTAACAACCAGTAAAAGATTTGTAGTGTTATTCGGAAATTTATTGATCAATTTAAAGAAGAAGAAAATTACCAGAGCGAAATACGTAAAAAAAAGTTTCCTTCAAGTTTAAACCACAAGTGTTTTAATTTTTTACCTTACTTAAGTCAACATTATTTTTATAACTAAAAAAAAAAAAATGTAAGTCTATTAAACTCTTTTTTAAAAGAACACTATTTTTTATTTTAAACGCCAACATTTTTTAACCATGCCTACAGAGAATTTCTTCTCATCGTAGCCAATCTTCAGCTTGTAAATGGGAAGGAAAATGTTGTTGATTGGGAGTCGATACGTCCATACCACTAGCATCGGGTCGGAGCCGACACGGCCACCTTCAAATGAAAGAAAGGAGCTGAAACGGACAACCGGGAGCCGATGCGGATACTTCCATTCACGTACGTTGTAGCAAATCAATCAGTAGCGTCATTTCAACTTTTTTTTTAATACGTATGGCGTATAGAACAGGTCACCAAGCCTATCTAGAATTTTCAACACAACAAAAATAAAATAATAATATTTTTACCATTCATTCATGACAATATAATAATAATGGTATTTACTAAATCATTTAACCAAGAAAAGCAGTAAAGAGGTGATAATAAATATTGTAATAAAGCGTTTATTAGGTACAGTTACAGTTATATAGTTTTATTTATTGTTAATATTTAAGAGGAAACCGACGCATCTTCATGCTTGCAAACTTATTTACAGATAAAATATCAACACATAAAATATTATTTTTAATATTTTGAATTATCAATAATCATCATTATTAAAAATGATTTAGGCTGGTTTCACACGTAGCAGTTAAGCCGCTCGCGGTCGCGGTTTTAAGCCGTGGCGATAAATCGCGACCGCGTCTGCAGTTTATTTATACACAAAGCGGTTTAGTGGCGCGCGTCCGGGGTTTTTCCCGCGGACTACCGCGAGCGATCACGATGATTTTTACCGCCAAATTTTAATTTTTAAAAGAGGAGGACATTGTAATTAGAATAGTCGTGTAAGCAACGTGGATGTGTATTGGTCAACTAAAAACATTCTTTTTCTTAACGTATAATGGAAACATTAAACAACTTGGAAGATATGCGAAGATAATCTACGCGTTATACAAGAAAAGGCATACACATCCAAACGCATTGAAAAGAAAACGCAACCTTTGGTTAGGTTCACTCATTCAACTTAAAAAGAGTCAATGAAGGCCAATTTCAAGTTGAATTTCAACAATAAATCGTTTGGTATTGAACATTTCAAAAGATGTCAATACGAATATTTTTTTATAATTTATGTATTAATTTAATAAAGATGACACTTCGAGAGTAATTTTACAATTGACCTGCACATTCAAGAGCCGCGACCGCTAGCAGTAGAACCGCTTCGTGTGTATTTACCCATTAGGAATACCCAGTTTAATTTTAGCTAGCGGACGCGGTCGACCGCTCAAAAATTAAACACGAGCGGTCGGAGGCGGTTGTACGCGGCAAGAAGCGGCGCCGTTTTTCTCGTACGAATAAACGTATTTTAACATATGTGTTCAATTTTAGGCGGTTTTTCGTATCGGCTAAAAACCGCTACGAGTGAAACCAGCTTTACTAGTTACTTAACCTAGACTAGCAACCGATGGTTAATAAAAGCTGATGGATAATAAAATAAAATTATCGTAATTACACCACAGATATCTATATTATAATATAGTAATAATGTATAATATAGATATCCGTGGATTACACACACGTTGCAAGATGACGATTTACGAATAATCGCGATAAGGAATATTTTGATAATTTTGTAACGTAATGTTTCATGTTCTTGTTTTTGAATAAGAAGAAAAACAAAATATTAATTAAAATTAAAATATATTGACCGCAAGCCACTATCTATAATTATTCAGGCCAATCGATTGATAAAGTGGGCCAACTTACTATAATAATGGATTTTAAATACGCAAATGTATACCCTGCGCGGTCCAAATTACGCCTCTGAAATCACAATTCTCGTTCTTGTCCACAGTTCGTAAACGTTGA